CATTTAAATTTTTTTCATGTGCCACCTAGGGATCCAGAGATGAATAAGGCACAGTTCCTGCTCTTGAGAAACATACCTTTTTTAATGGGATGAGGCAGGCATATATGCTTCCCAAGAGAAAAGGGAACCTTCTTCATACACTCTAGGTAGGAGTGTAAATTGGTGTAGCCACTATGGAAAACAGTATGGAGGTTCCTCAAAAAACTAAAAATAGAACTGCCATATGACCCAGCAATCCCACTCCTGGGTATATATCTGAAAAAAAAAATCACTAAAAAGATACACGCACCCCAATGTTCATAGCAGCATTATTTACAGTTGCCAAGATATGGAAGCAACCTAAGTGTCCATCAGCAGATGAGTGGATTCACAAGATGTGGTACATATATACAATGCAATACTACTCAGCCATAAAAAAATGAAGTTTTGTCATTTGCAGCAACATAGATGGACTTACATTAAGTGAAATAAGTCAGAAAAAGACAAATACTGTATGATATCACTTACATATGGAATGTAAAAAATACAACAAACTAGTGAATATAACAAAGAAGCCGACTCACAGATAGAGAGAACAAACTAGTGGTTACTAGTGGGAAAAGGAACGGGGGAGGGGCAATATGGGGGAGCAGATTAAGAGGTACAAACTATTAGGTATAAAATAAGCTACAAGGATATATTTTACAACATCCTGGGGAATATAGCCAATATTCTATAATAACTATAAACGGAGTATAACCTTTAAAAGTTGTGAATGACTGTATTGTACATGTGTAACACATAATTTTGTACATCAACTATACTTCAATAAAAACTTTAAAAATATATAAATATTATGATAGAGGCATGTATAAAATATTGCAAAAGCACAGGGGAGACAGAACTAACTTGACCTGGGGAAGTTAGGAAAGATGATATGCATAAAAAAGCTGACATTTGAACTAGGTCTGAAAGATGAGCATGACATTTTTCAGATGGAGTGCTGAGGAGAATCCCTTTATCAGGTAATAATCCAGCTCCTTTTTGAATGTTTATAACTACAGAGAGCTCCCTACCTTATGAGGCCCATTTCATTTTGAATAGCTGTAATTGTTGCAGAGGTACTTTCTACATTGAGCCAAGCAGTGCCTTTTACTATTTCTGCTCATTGGTCCCGGTTTTCTCCTCTGGAGCTAATGGGCAGAGACTTATCTTTCTACCATATAAGTCATTTCTATATTTGCAAATAGTCATCTCTTTTCCATGTTGAAAAAAGGGAAATGGATAAAGTCTCCAGTTGCGTTCCCTGAGAAGCTGATCTGAGACTAAGTTGGTGGACAGGGGGTTTAGGAGGGAATGCTTTTGAGATCAACACCATAAAAGGAAGGGAAGATTGGGCAGGAGTGGGCAGGGAGAGAAATACAGGTGAGACGCAGTATTAATGGAAGCTTGTGGGAAGTTCTGAAGATAGACTCATCCTTCAGAGTTGCCTAGAAATAGGGCAAGAGGACCAGGTCTTTAGACGCCATGACCACCAGTCATTCAATGCATTCTACCCCAGGAAGGAGACGTGACTTTGGACCAGGTGGTTCTCTTCAGCTGACACAGTCCCCAGAGTGGGATGGCAGCTGAAACCAATTGCTAGGGGCACCAGCTGGGGTAGTTAATCCCTTATGTCTGAAGTGGATCTGTAAGGGATCTCAGTGATGCAGAAGAAGAATCTCATGTACTGCTAATTCTTTAGGCAGCTATTTTCTGAGACAGTTAATAGAATGAAAAAAAGTACCTGTTTTTGTTTCTTCTTATTAGCAAATAAACACCCTGAACATCAACGTGATGAGGTTCACCATAACAGTTCCAGACTGATGGGGCCTGATGTACAATCGTGTCTTCCCTGTGCTAACTGCACCTATCAATCATGATAGCCTTTTGCCTAGGACTGCTTTAAGGGGCTCTCAAGGCAAGTTGAAGAAGTACATTCACGCAATAAATTTGACTGGGAATCTTCCCAAGGAGGACAAGACTGCTCCAAGGAGCCCTGCACATAACATTTTGTAATGACATTAGGAGAATAAAAATGTAAGTGTGGAAGCATAGTGAGCTGAATTATATCCCTGTCCTTCATCCTAGAAGATGCTACTTCTTGTGGTGATCACAGTGCATGCTGGGAGCCTGCAAAGATGGATGCTTGGCCACCAGTCCTTTCCACTCCATGCACACGTGAAGATTGCTTTTTGATCTGTGGCTGTGACCATAATTTGCAAAGTCTGTCACTGCTTACAACTTTTAGTTAGCCCAAAGCTTTGTTGAAAAAGAGCTGTCCCATTCCCAATTACTATACACCAGACTGATGGGTCAACTAAATTAATAATGCTGGACCACTCATTATACTGGGAAACATTTGCCCAAGCTATAACTTTGTCTCTTGATTCCTGTTTGGTTTCATTAACCTCCTCTTGGTGCCACAGATAAAATGGCCGTGTAAGGCATCCTTATTTAATGAAGGATTGGCAAGATAAAGTGGTTGAACTGGGCATTGACGGGAGCAGAGGAGTCAGAAGAAGGATGGTTGTGGAGGAAGGGAGAAGTAGGTTAGATGGGGATGTGGTGAGGGTTAGATGGAGCCATATTAATTTTTCTCTTTTCTTACTTTCACCATATATTGGCTTTCTTCACACAGTAGCTGGCGGTTTCTTTAGGAGCTCATTTATAATTGTGAGCGAGTTTTAAGAGAAGACCAAGAGAGGAGAGGGTCAGGTTGGTATGTAGTAGATTGGTTTTCTTTTAAAGTCAGTCTCATTAGCATGGGCTCATTTACTAAGGACCGTCCTGCCCCCTCCAAGGGTTTTCTTTCAAGGCTGTCTCTAGCTGTGTATTTGAACCAGCTGTGGTTTCACTGTAGATGGAGCTTTGTGGGTATTCAGGAACCTCCTCATGATATGTGCATTTATCATAGAATGGGTGGACTTACGTTGTTTACAGTGGGGATCCCTCTCATCCTGAGCCTGTGCATTTTAAGGTACATTTAAAAGCTTCTGTCACTTTGTTATGTCCACTGGGCTGGTGAAAACTCAGGTGATAATACGTCTCATTTGAGAATTCCCCAAGTTCCCTAACTTAGCTGGAACTAACAAGGAGAACAAATGGCTGTCCCTTTAAAGTGATAACCATTCTGGGTGAGTTGTTCTGTCGCAGGGCCTTCCTTTCCTGTAGTTGTGGTTCGCTGTGGGCCCCTGACAAGTCTTGTCATAATTAAGCTTTGTTGCCCTGGATTCCCACTCTATCCTACGACCTAAGGACAAGGTCAGCTTCCCCTGAAGAGCAGTACATAGTGGCACTGAAGTAGAAGACCAGGAGCAGGGACTGGCCACATACGAAGTCACTGTTCTATCCTGAATTAATTTCCATTCCCTCCCCACCCATTCTTGCTGCCCCACCCTCTCTACTTCTCTGAATTCCACTGTCCTACCAGGCACCTCCTTGACTGTATATTGAAGCCAGGGGAGGGAGCCATTATAAGCACCATTTTACCCTTAGCGGAAAGAGTTGCCCCCAGACGACTAGGCAGCTACTGTTTCATTCTGGATCGCTTGCGGGGAATGTGACGAGTTCAAGCCACGTGAAGCACACACAGCTCTGGCATAGCCTCGAGGGGCTGGCGGCTTTCGTTGCCCAATCAGGGTCTTTGGACACCAGCTGGATAGTTCCCAGCCTGCATTTTTTTTTTTTTTCAATAGTGGGTGCCCCAAAAATACTCCGCAGTTTCTCAGCTGTACAACAATGTGTTCCTGAACTAAGAAATCACTGCATCATTTTTCTTTAAAAGCCTGATCTCTTGTAACCGTACTTTGAAGCTCTAGTTTGGGGGATAAAAAAGAACTGCCCCTTTGAATTAAAGACACAATTTTGTTAGCTTGGATTGTTATAAAATGGAGATGAACCATCAGATAGGCGATAGGGGCCACTGACCAAGAAAAGAGATGTCATTACCCAGGAGGAAGTCAGGGGAAAATGGACTGAAAGAGAAGGACAAGGCTGAGAGGGTCTTCACTGTGTGGCTTCAGATTCTTCTAGCTGTAAGATCGAGACAAAATGCAGGGCTTGACATCTCCAAACAGCAGGTGAAATACAGCTTAAAATGGGACACATTTAAAATGGCTTCTCCCTCAAGAGGTGGGAGAAAACATAAGATGTTTAGAATTGACGGAGGGTTGTGTGCAATACACAGGTCAGACGGAGACCCATGGCATTATATAGGTAAGAGAAAGAACAATCCTTTCTATGTTGTTCTCATATAAAGCTTAATCATATATGACCTTAAAGACAAGTCATTGTAACTTGCAGCTGACACGCACTACTTGTGCATTACTCCACCTACATACCTCATTGTCAGAGTAGAAGACAGAGAGAAAATTCCATGTGCATTTCACCTAACAGTTATGTCTTTATAGAAAATCTTGTATTACAGCGTGCTTCCCTGCTAGCCATACCTGAGTACCACCCACCTGCTGGGCGACTAGAGGTAGATTTAAGGGCAGATTGATGGCATTTTGGATTATTCACTCCGATTGAATAATACATATCCCCAATTGATGAATCCAAAAGCCTCAAAAAATGGAAAGTGTGTGTCTGTGTTCATATAACTCCTTTGACAGCAAAACCTGACCTGAACTGACATGACGCCGTTTACAGTCTTTATCCCACTTTATGTGACTCTTCACATGTTTTGCTCTAGAAATACTAGCATATTTGATTTTAGGAAGCTGCCTGAGGCTCTGCAGTAGCCCCAAGGATTTCAGACAAGAAGAGTATAGACCCATGTCGATCTTCTCAAGAGGAAGGTTTTAGGAAGGAAAGTATTACAACTGTTTGCAATTTAAACATATCCAGTTTTAGAGGCATTATGTGGAAAAAGTAAATAATGAACACAAACCTTTGTATCCAGATGGTCCAAACTCTCCCTCACCATCTTCGTTTTGGTTTTTCTCTCTCTCTCTCTTTCTTTGTGTTCACGACTTTAGGATGAGTCCTCAATGTTCTTCCAGTTCGGCCCATCGATTGAACAACAGGCTTCCGTGATGCTCAATATCATGGAGGAGTATGACTGGTACATCTTCTCTATCGTCACCACCTACTTCCCTGGCTACCAGGACTTTGTAAACAAGATTCGCAGCACCATCGAGAATAGCTTCGTGGGCTGGGAGTTAGAGGAAGTCCTCCTGCTGGACATGTCCCTGGATGATGGAGATTCTAAGATCCAGAACCAGCTCAAGAAACTTCAAAGCCCCATCATTCTTCTTTATTGTACTAAGGAAGAAGCCACCTACATCTTCGAAGTGGCTAACTCAGTAGGGCTGACTGGCTACGGCTACACGTGGATTGTGCCTAGTCTGGTGGCAGGGGACACAGACACAGTGCCCTCGGAGTTCCCCACCGGGCTTATCTCTGTGTCCTATGATGAATGGGACTATGGCCTCCCTGCCAGAGTGAGGGATGGAATCGCCATCATCACCACCGCTGCTTCCGACATGCTGTCCGAACACAGCTTCATCCCCGAGCCCAAGAGCAGCTGTTACAACACCCACGAGAAGAGAATCTACCAGTCCAATATGCTGAACAGGTGAGTGTGGGAGGTCAGAGGAGAGCTTCCAAGACTGGGTTGGATGTTCAGAAACTGTGGGAGGGGCAGTTCAAGATGTCTGAGGTTGAAGACTGGTCGTTGGGGTGGCGATCGTTCGTGACGGTGGGAGATCCAGATCCAGAGCTCGCTGCGCTGTGTGCTTGTTGTAAGAAATGCAAAACGTCTCCCTCTTCTTGACCACCTCCCGTGTGCCGGGTCTCACTCCGAGCGTTTCGTGTGTTCGACCTCATTTAACCCTCAAGGCAACAACTCTCATTAGGCAGTTTTTAAAAATTGTTTCATTTTATAATACAAGAGAATAGGCTTGTCCGAAGTCACGCTGAAAGTAAGAGGTGCAGTTTGGAGTTGAACCCAGGTCTCTCTGATCGCTACCCGCCTGATCACTATGAAAGATGAGACAGGCATAGAAATGAGGGAAGACCAGCCCCCTTACCTTTGGGACACTGCTGTACCGAGAGGGAATGGGGAATAGGGTACATGAGGAGGATTCGTGCCTTGGTTTTTAATCTGCCTTTGCTTCGCCTTTCTCTGCCTTTGAGATTAAGTGCTGGTGTACAGCAGCTTTGATGGCGGCTGTCAGTCTGGCTTATTGAACGAGAAGAAGGTATGGGTGGAATCCTCCTCCCCCGACCTCACCTCAGAATCCAGCTACGATGGCAGCACATCCTCTTAGGGGCCATCGTGTGACCAAGTGGGGTAGAAAATTCTACACTGTGCTTTTGTGGTTTTGTTATTTGTATAAAACGGCTACGTGCGTACACTGTAAAAATTCAAACAATATAGAAGAGCTCACACACACACACACAAAAAAAGTAAAAACGACCTTAAATCTGACTAGTCAAAACGGTCATTATTGAAATACTTAATGACCGTCTTTCTAGCTATCTCCCGGTGCATGTATACCTGTGTGGAGATAAATCTACAGTTTTACATAAATGGAAATATAACCAGACGTGCTGTTCAATAACCTGCCTTCCTTTCACTCAACAGTGTATTTTGGGTATCCATTTCACCTTTATTATGAGCTATATCAGACATATAGAAAGATATTCAGAAAAACTTAACCCATACTCAGGTACCCACCACCCAGCTTAAGAAATAAAATATTAGAAAGTGTACTGCAGGGAGGTTGAAATACATTCAGAGGAGGTTGAATGTGTACTGACTTATACTTATTTAGCTTCTGGAAGGGACTTGGACTCTGTAGCCTCTTGTCTAAGCTCCTAATTCAGAGTTGACACTAAAAGTCGTTTTTCTGTGGCTGCATCTGTGATCCAATCCTGCTATTCCCCCACCTTGAACTCTCTGCTTTCTCTGCCATCCCTAGTTATCCCTACATGTTGGTACAGACCGTCTTGGCGTTCTTCTTGCCTCCCTGGCAATTCTGTCTCAGGCTCCCCAGCATGCTTCTTCCTTTTGCTTCTTCCTTTACCTATCTCTTAAATATTGGTGCTTCTCCGGGGTCTGTCCTCTACCCTCTTTTCTTTTTTCTTTCTGTTTTTTGGCTGCGCAGTGCGGCTTGCAGGATCTTAGTTCCCTGACCAGGGATAGAACCCGTGCCCTCGGCAGTGAAAGCTCAGAGCCCTAACCACTGGACCACCAGGGAAGTCCCTAGACTCTCTTCTTTTCTCCTCCATTGCCAAGAATACAATCGATGTCTGTAAGTTCCCCCAAACGGACATCGCTGGCTGAAACCTCTCCCTCGAGCCCCACGTCTGTCTATGTATGACCACATCTGTTCCTTTGGATGCCATGGGCCGTAGAACATACCATATCCAAGGCTGCACAGCTGTCTCCTCTCCCATCAACCCTCCCACCCTCTTCTAGCCAAATTGGCACCACTTATAAAGGGTACAGTCTCCTAAAGTAAAAATGCCCAAGGTGTCCTTGATGCCATAGCCCTGACACCGCATAGCCAGTCATGGCCTTGTCTGTGGACTCGCCCTGGAGAGCTTTCACTTATTTTCATCCCCGTGCCATCGCCCAGTCCACCTCTTTCTACTCGCATTGCTGCAGGGCCTCTTAAATCTTTTCTGGCTTCCAGTTCTGCTTCTTTTCAATCTCCTTTGCAGCCAGAGTGATCTAAAATGAAAATGTGATTTCATCACTTTCTTGCTTAATACCTTTCAGCGGCTTTTCATTGCTTCTATAATAAAGTCCCATCTCCTTAATGTGGTTTATAGAGTCTTCCACAGCATGAGCCTTCCTAGCTTTCCAAAACCGTCTCCCGCCCCTCGTCGCCTAAACACTGCCTTCCTGCCACGCTGCACTTCCCGTGTTCTCTCTCCCTTCCAGCTCCTACTGCTGCCTTGAATGTGCTCCCCAGGCGCCCCTGCCCAGCCATACACAGATGCACGTGCCCCTTCCCCTGCCTCCTTCTCTGCATCCCTCAGGATTCAGTCTTGGCATCCCTTCCCCTGAAAACTGAGCCCTGGACTAATATCACTTGGTTACACGCCTGCCCCGCCTCCCGTGCCTTTCCAATAAAGACGATCGTCGTTCTGTGCTTGATTATCTCTCTTCCCTGTAAGTTCTCTGAAAGCAGGGACCCTTCTGTCTTCCTCATTCTTGTGGCACCGGGGAAGACACCTGGAGCAAACGCATGACGTCCTCCGAGTTGCTGAGCTGCCCGGTGCCTCCCTGCTCTACGGGAGCATCTCTGTTCTGCTCCTCTTTGCAAGACAAGGGGCACCTCCTTTAAAAACTTACTACATATTCGGTTCTGTACATTCATGTTTTCTCCCTAGTTCAGTTTATTTTCCCAAATATTTGTTCACTGAAACCAAGATGAGCGAACAGAAAACATCTGCCGAGCAACACAAGGAAATCAAGTGGGTATTACATTAGGGTCCATACATATGGGTCAGGAATGCCTGCTTTTACCTTAGAACTTCCTCTGGGTAAGCAGCTATCTGAAGATAGTATCTCCCATTTGGCTTACTTCACATTAGACTGTAACTGTTATCTCGGAAGCCAGGGCTCTAACCACTGTATCTTTGGAAGCACCATTGGTTGTAACCTTTGTCGCCATCTCTTGTGGCCCCTCAGGAGGGTGGCTCTCCGCAGTCCTCTGTACCCCGTGCTTAGAGCTTATTGTCAAGAGAACCGCAAGCGCCCACCCCTCCATCTTCTCAAGTGCAGCAGGTCCTAAAAGGAGCAAGGATGGTGCAGCAGATTATTCATACGTTCCTCCAGTCCCAGGGCAGAGCAGAGGGAGAGTCCACCTTCCCTCAGTTTCCCAAGTACACTGTGTAAAGGTCTCACCAGACTTATCAGAGCGTTTCTCCACCAAGCTATTTCCTCTATGAACCTTCTCATCTGCCCCGGTTCCCCGAATCTTCCAGGCTTCTCCATCTGACTGCCTGCTGGGCATCTCCTCTGGGCTATCTCCCCTTGTCCATGGACCTGCATCCCTCACTCTTCTCCATTGTCTTTTCCTTCCCCTCCTCCCAAATGCAGCTTCCCGTGGTTCTAGAATCCAATTCCTAGCCTCTCTTAGCATTTTAATACGTTTTTCTATCAGGACCAGGAAGGATTGGGGTTGATGAACAGGGACTCAAAGGAGGACAGCATTCAGCTCATCAGTGGGACTCAATTAAGCATCCTCAGTCAGCGGTCCTCCTCCTTCCCCTGGTCGGAATTCAGCCCCTCCTTCAGAGCTCTGGTCTCACTAGGGTCACTCTTTTAAATAACAGACCAAGCAGCCACAGCGGGAAATCTTGCAAATAAAATTGTTGCAAATGCTTAACTGTTGCCTTTGGCCTGATGCTCACCTCCCAGCATCATTAGCAGCAGCATCCCCAGGAAGGCTCCTCAGGACGTACCTGGGGGTGACCCAGCCAGGGATGGCGCCGGAAATACAGAGTCGGGAAACGTCTTCTGGTCTCACTTTCTGAAAACCCAGTAGCATTCACAGGCCCTGTCGTCCGTCCCCAGAAGCATTGCAAGGGGAGGGAAATCCCTCATTCGTACCTGACCAGACTGTGGCTTTCTTTCCACGCGAGGGAAGTTCCTAAGTCTAGATTTCGGGATCACAGACAGGAGATTCTATGATATCCCTGAGTCCTAAAGAGAGACACATATTTGAAGTGATTTACTTGTTAGTTATGGAAGGAAAAAAAACATCCTCAGAGAGGATCCTTAAAATGAACTATTTCGTTCACTGTCCAGTGAATGCAATTTGTCACGTATCAATCCAGATTCCTTACTGATAACTTGTTAGCTCTTGGAAGCTTGGCCCACTATAGACTTGGAGACTGTCTCCAGATAGGCTACAGGCTGCTGGATAAGGCTTTTTACTAGGGTTGCAAGAAAAATACAGAAGCCCAGTTAAATTTGAATTTCAGATCAATGACAACTTTTTTTTTAGCATAAGTGTGCCCCAGATATTGCATGGGACATACTGATATTAAAAGATAATTTGTTGTAATGTTACAGGGCTCCTGAATTTTTTTTTTTTTTTTTTTTTGCTAAATATGACCATTCTACTTTGTACCTTAAGAATTCATTTTAATTATTAGCATTTATTAGCATTCATTTATGCCTTATTAGTAAATGTAGTACAGAGCCCTTATACCAAGACGTGCTGAGAGCATTTTATTCCAACTGGGAACTTTTTTTTTTTTTTTTTTTTTTTTTTTGGTACACGGCGCTTTCTCTTTTTGTGCCTCTCCCTTTGCAGAGCACAGGCTCCGGACACGCAGGCTCAGCGGCCATGGCTCACGGGCCCAGCCGCTCCGCGGCACGTGGGATCTTCCCGGACCGGGGCACGAACCCGTGTCCCCTGCATCAGCAGGCGGACTCCCAACCACTTCGCCACCGGGGAAGCCCCCAACTGGGAGCTTTATTTGGTTGAAAGAGTTGGAGAATTTCTTATGCCATGCATTCTTGAGGTGAAAGATCTTCTTAGTTCCCGAGAAAATCCTGAAACCCTTTTGGTACCAGATGATCTGAAAGTGTTTAGAAAGTGGTCAGACCAG